TTTATTATCCCTTGTTTCGCGAACCCGCCGAATGAACAGGAGCCGAAAACAGTGCGATTTTTCGTGCCCGCCGACTTGTAAGCGCAAAAAAATGCTAAAAAAATATTTTTTTTATCTTTATTTTTTTACGGCCCGCTGCATAATTTTCATGGGAGTATGATGATCAAAATACCGAAGTCTCCACAGGTGAGAAACAAGGTTATACATAGAATAAAATTTTATTTCATTTCTTTTTTCCAATCAATGATCTCACTTACAACTCTTTGAGAATCACACAAATCTAATGGAAAAAAAGAATCAATTTTATTTTTTTTCCCCGCCCTCCTCAAAAAAATTGCCTTATAAAAACTCGAGAGACAAGGAATAAAAAAAGTCTGGCCTAAGATACACATCTGTTATTTATGTAGGCGTATGCACAGTAGGAGTTATTAGTTAATAGAGTAAAGAATATTTGTTGGTCTTAAAGTTGCCCTCAAAGATCGTCTCTATAAGTTTGTTGGGAGTTTTGGGAGTTTTAGGACATAAAGTGTATTATGTGAAATTGTGTACGGTCTTAATTGGCGCATAATAATGCTGACAAACCTTGTAACCGCTGCAAACAAGAAATGTTCTCAATATGTGCATTATAGCCAAAACTTATATTTGAGATTAATCATTAAACAATGTAGTAAAAGCAGATTTTCTATGAACAAGAAATCTGGTAAAAAATATTAAAAAGTTGCACCTTTGCTTTTAATTTTTGTTATAGTATGCTGCATTTTATTGTTTCTCGGTAAATATGCATCCAGCTGTCATTTAGATGCATGGTCTGTTGCCGTGGCACCCTGTGTAGAACAAAATGAAGATGTTACCCGCAAAGAACAGACAAGTGAAATCTTGCCTTGTGAAGGGATTTGATTGGCTGCACAGTTAATCACCTTGGTAACTACAGGAGGCAAATAGTCTATCTTCCTCACTAAAAAGAATTTGTATGATGTATGACACAAATACAGCAGTTTTAATGTCTTGCATAAAAACACTTAAAGATTGTTTGCATTTTTAGTTTCCTAGGCTATGACACTTTAAGCTGATGTCGTTTACGATTATTATTTTCTTTTAGTTTGATCTTTCCTGAAAATGGAATTTTTTGTTCATTTTTTTTTTCTGAAATTCTGACAAAAAATGTATACCCGTATGCATAGAAACATTAAATATTTTTATTCTGAGAGGAAAATAGTGAGAGAACATTGTAGGCTTTTATATTGAATATAGTCACAATACATTGATTTGTTTCATTTCTTATTCTCACCCCAGCCATCAACTATATCCAGTGTTAAAGCGATGTCGAGATGGATTGAACCTTTAACCTTTACCTTTTGTGTTTCTAAGAGTAGACTCAATGCATAAAAACTATTATGACCTAAAGGGAATTGGATGTCAAAACTAACTTGTACAAATATTCCTGCCATACTGTGAGCTGAATAACACACACAGTGTTCGTTACATCCTTGTTATTTTGCATCACTGTCTAAAGTGTTAAATTTGACTGCAAAATTGCAAGTTATTATTCCATGGAAATAATTAATTATTCTTACATTTTAGATAAATTTAACTTCCACGCTCAATTTTAAATCTGTGTAAACCTGATTTTTGTATAAAACAAAATGAATAGGAAGCACAATGGCAGTAAAATAATATAAAGTATTGTATATTTAATATTGATTAATTTAAAATGTTTGAGTAAGTCATGTACTGCTGCCTCATATATAGTATGACAGAAATTACATTATTTTAGTCCAAACGCAGTTTTCAGCGGTTAATGTGTTTTTTTTTAGTAATATTGAACTTCATTAGGAATACCAAGGTCTTCATTTTAATTACCCATAATGCATCTGTCATTCATACAAGATCAGTATTTACACATGCATTACAATATTAATATAGTCATATGAGGTTATCACTGGATTCGTCATATTTACACTCGCACTCAACAATTATTGTGTTTACTATGCTAACAAAATTCAATCAGACTCATAATTTAAAATTTCAAAATTGTGCGCTTCTAATTATTAAATCTTGCACTGCACTACTGCCATTGTTAACATTTCACTATGTTAATGTTTCACTAACTTTTTGAATGCCATTTTATTTGTCGCCTAAATTTTTGTAACAACATTTTATATATTTTCTTAAATTTCTTTGACGATGTTGGACCAAGTGGACAAACATGTACCGGTAATTTACCGCTTGCTACGAGTCTTGATCGAAATGGAAATATTATGCGAGTTTAGTTTGTGAAAGTTTACAAAAATTGGCTTTGGCATTAAAAAGTACCTAACAATAGATCTTGGGAATCGTGGTGAAACTACTGTTTTTTTTTATGACTATAAATTTTCACGATTTAATAATTCATGATCATGACCGACTCGGTATCTTAATGATCAAAATAAAATCTTCACTGCTAACAAATTTATCTCTCACATTTACAGTACCCAAGTGAATTAACTCTTTGAGTGACAGACATTTTTCTCGCCTAAAATTCAATGCAAATATTTTTACATTTTGAAAAATTTCAGCAAATTTCTTCATCATTTTGGATCATACAGACAGTTTCAGATATTTCTTTTGGTTTTTGATCAAAAGGTTTGTCAATTTTTATCGATATTTCATGTGGGAAAGAGCAGATTATACAAAATAATTTTATAGATAGTGACATAAGTTGACGATGGCGCTTAAAGGGTAACACTAGTTATTTATTAATGAGAAACTACAGTAATAAAAACGGCACTTCAAATTCAAGATGACATTTAATTGCCAACGTGTCACCACTATCGCTACTAGTAAACGTTCATCTGATGTATTATAGATACTTGTATTGCAAAGTGCCGCGGAATGGCCAGCACAAGTGTTGTTCAACAAATCAGATTTCATCCCGATTTGACCATTTCAAATTAAATTACTAAATACAAATGAGTAGCATACAAAAGTTTTCGTTTTTCTGAATGTGGTGCTCCAGAATACAGTGTTAGTTATGAACACAACTTGCTGGCAGTTACTGATAGAACTGCATTGCATTGTTTTTAGGTTACAACTGAATGGAGATGTGTATGTATTATATGCTTTAATATTTCGTTTGCTCTTTGTGTGAAGTGTTTGTGGTTCTTCTGTTTCTATGCAAATTAAAACGTAAGGCTCAGAAAAAATCTGTATGTTTCTGGTCATTGCTTGTAAGATTAAAATGTATGCATCACACTTTTTTTTTTTTGTAGAAAAAAATCAACAAAATTTTCAAGCACAGTATATTGATTTTGAAAAACAATTATAAATATAACAATTCTAAATATTAAGAGTGTTTTATAGATTTATCTTGAGAGCTACATTGTTCTCATCGCATTGTTTCAGACAAGCCAGAGGGAGCAGAGTTGATATACTGTATTAAAATATGATAATTATTCACTGGGTTTTAATTTTTTTTTTTGCAAATGTAAAATAGAACTGTAAATCTCCACAAAAGCCCATAATAGAATTCACTGTTACTGAGGCAAATCTGTGAGTTTAAAATCCCAGTAAATTTGATAAATACCAACTGAAAATTAATTCTTTTACAGTATAATTTGTAAACAGATATATTAAGAGTTACTGTAAATGTATTAGTTGTTCACTGGTTTTCAATTTCATTATTTTGGCTGATAAGTAAAATTTGCAAAATTAAATCCATGTAAACATGAAGAATAATGCGAGTTTGTGAACTTTAAACCCAGTGAAATTACTATTACATCAAAATAGTGAATTTAAATGCCAGTAAAAACAAATAGTTTTATAGTAACTTGTATACTGCATTCATAATTAAATTGTGATAATCAGATAGACAAGCACTGTACGACATTTAGTTGTATAATGACATTTTCATAAAATAGAAGACATAAATTTTTTTCTGTGAGTATTTTCAAATGAAAAGTGATGTGTCCAGCGGTGTGAAACGACTCGCAAGTACATCTACTGGTACATAATACAGTGCCCCAGAATACAATACAATGTAATAAATTAATGAAATCCAATAACTTGTCAATTAATAACTTTTTTAATAAATAAATGCCAGTATCAGTTAAGGAAAATCATGATATCTGATCAAGTGTGAACAAATCACGACTCAATTATAAAAGGGGCATTTTAGGTTATTGCAATGATAAAAATGAAA